TGACTTCATTGCCTTTTTTTTTTTTTTTTTTTTTTTGGAGTTCATTTCAAATAGATATATCCATACCTACATAATACCTTCTAATTTGTCTTTGGATTGCAAAGCCTAAAAGTATTTCCAATTTGTTCTTTATGAAAATGTTTGCTGATCCCTGATCTATATGGTAGATGCTGATGGAGAGATGTGTCCTGGTTCAAGAGAGATTTCAGAGGTGGGATCCACAGGGCAGGTGGCTGCAAGTGTGCATGGAGGAGGTTAGGTTGAGGCCAGGGCTTGTCCATGGCATGGCTGAGCTCAGGCACCCAGGAGAAGAAGGTTTGGGAAATTAAGGGGAATAAGATTGAGCGTAGTTGGTTTTGAGGGGCTTGTGGGGCCTGGAGGGGGAAAAGCCACCTGGTAGTTACCAGTTCTACGTGAGTAGTGTTGTAACAGGTGAACAAAGAGGCATTAGGAGGATGGGGTCGAGGGCAGGAAGAAGAGGAACCAACAAAAAAGATTTCATGGAGGTAGCATTTAAGGGGAGCTTTAAGGAATACTTAAGGATTTAAAGGTAGGCAGGAGTGTAAGGGCCTACCAAGCAGGGGGAACCAAGGAGGAGTAATGGACTATGCATATTTATTGAGCAGCTGGATCACCCTGGAGTTACTGAGTACATTTTAGGGAGTGACTAAGAAGTCCAATAGGACCCGTCACCAAGAGCCCAAGGTCCAGAACAAATACTTTCCTTATTGGTTACTTGTTTCCTGTTTTCCCTCCTCCACAACTCACATACTCTCACACAAGAAGGTGTTCATTCATACAGAGTTTGTCTTGTTCTTGACTGCATCTCTAACTCTTAGAAGAGTTAGAGTTGGTAAGTATTTGTTGAGTGAATGAATGAACGTTGGGAACATGACATAGCCAAAGGGGTAGGATTGAATCCCAGGTCCCACCTTATGGGCTTGCTGTGTGACGTAGCCAGTTTACGTGTCCTTTTGGACCTCTGTAAAGTGGAATTTTAAGCTTTCCCTCTCAGGATTGTGAGGACTGAATAACAAAACAAAACAAAACAAAACAAAAAACTCTCCTTTCCTAAATTATTGTAAAGACTCACAGTCTGGGTTTTGTCTGCTGAAAGGAGTTACAGGGTGGAGTGCATAAGGAAGGGCTTCTCCGGTCATGTACAAATGCCCTGGGTTTTTTCCTAACCTTTATTTTTATTATTATTTCCCTGATTTTTTTTTTTTTTTTCCCCTGACTGCAAAAGTAATGCTATGAAACATTGAAAACAAAATGTTGGCCTCTGGGTAACCACCATTGACATTTTGTTTTGTTCTCTAGAGCGGGTTTTCTTAAAGTGGGGGACACCTGCACAGACTTTGACTTTGCCTGAGGGGAGAGAACCTAACTGAGGTTCTTTATTATTATTATTTTTAACTTGAAAAAAATTTAACATAAAAAAACAAAAAAGATGAAGTCACTCTCCTTTCCATCCTTGTCCCCTGGCATCCTATCTTCTTCCTCTAGATTTGCGGGCATCCTTCCATCCTCTCTGTGTATACGGTCCTATATGTGTAGATGGTCTTTTGCATACAAATGGTGCATTTTATTCCCATTGTTCTACAACTTCATCTCCTAATTTTTCCTTCTTTTTTTAAGTGTACACATATCTACAAACATAGCATTTGCAATTCAACATTTTTCATGCACTCAATGCAGTGAGATCAATTCTGTCAATCATGTTGTGCTGCAGTCATTACCAATATCCTTTGCCAAGTTTTCCATCCGCATAAACTTGCTTAAGAATTTTAATATAAAATATTTAAGACAAACTGAAAAGTGACCGACCAACCCGCAAGCAATGGCTGGTCCTTTCCTGCCCCCTCCAGTAATCGCAGGTCAGCTGGAAGGGTAAAGCAGAGCTTGGGTGGTGACTTGCAGCCAGTCTGGGAACGAGGGGAAATGGCCAGGGGAAGGAGCTGCTTGAGAATGCTGACTCCGGTTGCCATTCCTTCCAGTTTTTCAGGGCACATCGGTATCTGGGTTTATATGTGAAGCCTCCTCATATTTCATTGTTGTAACTAATTCAAGAGTGTTTAAAACCTGAGTGCACCAAAACACTGGAAAGTCAGCTCCATGAAGGTAGGGATTTCTCTGTCGTTCATTGCTATACCATCAGCATCTCATGGGTTGGAGATGCTCCATGTCAAGTGAAAATTTGTGGACCCTAAGCTCCATCTTCTGGCTGATGAACCTTTCCTAATGTTCAAATGGAATCAAAAGTCTCCTCTTCCAGGAAGGCAGCTAGGATTGGCAGTCCCAGTCCATCCTACTGTCAAATGGCTTACACAACTGGAAGCTAGCCTTCTTTGAGAACATGAGAGCATGGTGTTGAATATGAGTTCATGGAGAAGGAAGTTTGTTCTCTGGGGATGATGCTTAAGGATGCAGCAAGGGATGCAGAATGGTTGGTTCAGAGGAGAATTCCGTACTGGGTCAGGTCCTAGCCCAGCTGCAGCCCTGACCCAAAGGACTGGCCCTTTCTTCCTTCACCAGGAAAGGACACTGGAGGCAGAGGAAACAACATGAGTAAACTCTCAGAGAGAGAAACAAGCTCAATGAGTTTTAGGAACACCAAGCAGGTTAGTGTGGCTGGACCACTGGGTGTATAATGGGAGAGGTGAGGCTGGAGCACGAGGGAGGATAGCCAGCTCTTGGGGAGCATGGAGGCCAGCACTGGGTCTTGAAGTTAAGGGAAAGCCACAGAAGGACTTTAATTAGAAGAGGAATCTGGGCAGACTTATCTTTGGAAAGATGAGACAGAGGGTAGGCAGAAAGAGCATCTTTTTCACCTAAGGTCCCAAAAGATGGAAAGTAGAACAGTTAATGCAATCAGTTGTCTACCAGGCATTTGCAGAGTACCGACTGTATTAGTAAGCATTTATTGACACCTGGTGAATGCAGAATACTTTACTGGGTGGTGGTGGGGCTTGGGAGGGCAGAGACCGGAGCGAATGAGGCAGCCCAGTGTTGTGGGGGAGTTCCTGGATGGTAAACACAGTTAACATACTCAGCTGCTAACCAAAAGCTTGGAGATTTGCGTCCACCCAGAGGTGCCTTGGAAGAAAGGCCTGGCAATCTACTTCCCAAAAATTGCCCATTGAAAACCCACAGTTCTACTTGGACACACATAGGCTCACCACGAGTCAGAGTTGACTCAATGGAAACTGGAAGTGGAAGTGCAATGGGGCAAAATGAACTTTGGGGTTAGGTCTAACTGTACCAGTTGTCATCAAGTGCCCTCATGTGTGTCAGAATGAAACTGTGCTCCATAGGGCGTTCAATGACTGGTTTTTCAGAATTCAGCCTACCTGGTGTGACATGCTCCCAGTGTGACATTGGGCTGCCTGCATTCCCTTCTTAAGACTGTGGGAAGCTGACCTCTTCCTCCTGGCATTGAGGGCTGGACAGGCCAGTGCTGCCAGTGATGGATATATGGGGATAGTTCATTCTGGGGGTCTCACCTGCTTCCCTCTTGAATCTCGGACCACTGATGGCACCTGCTTCCTTCCCCAGCCCAGATCTGCATTGCAGTCTTCATAGGCCTCTTATTCACAAGATTCTGGATCCTCACTGTCTTATATGCAACCTGGTGGTACTTGGACTGGGACAAGCCACGGCAGGGGGGCAGGCGCATCCAGTTCTTAAGGCGCTCTATCCTGTGGAACTACATGAAGGACTATTTCCCCGTTTCGGTGAGTACTGGGGCTAGTGGGGAAGAGCGGCTAGCCAGGGAAGGGTTGAGACCACAGTGCTGCACATCTTCCGTGTACAGTGAGCAGGATACTGGGCTGGGAGGCAGCAGCTGGATTTCTGCCACCATATGACCTGGAGGAGAGTCCCAGGTTCTCTCTGGTCTTGATTTCTCCATCTGTACAGTGGGCATGTGGGGCCGATATATATGGGCACTGATAAATGCACAGGATTCAAAAGAGCTCTGTGGGACACATAGTGTGGCACACATATGTATCTTACAGGTTTAAACTCCCAGTGGCCCAGGTTTGGGGAGTGAAGGTAACAAACTCACAGGTCCTAAGACATTATCTAGCCACACACTTGCATTCATCATCAGATGAAGGGATAGAGAGAGACAAGGGTATGACCAAGGTCACACAGCAAGTTCTTTTACTGGTTTTAAAGTTTATGCATTGACAATGGATAAAGGTAGAGGGACTAGACCCTGAACCAGCTCTTAGTTTCTATCCTGCCCCAACTCTGGTACTCTGTGTGTTCTTGGGCAAGGTCTTCCCCATTCTGAGCATCAGTTTTCCCCCATATCCAGTAAGCACACTAGTCTCTCCCACTCTTGAGTGCCTTCGAATCTCTGACTCTGGTTCAAGGCATCTTGTGGCCATTGATGGACATTTAGCCTTGGACTTGAAGGTCAGAGTCTGGATTTGAGTGAGCAGACCCATGAGCTCCTTTGTTGAATCCCATATGGACTAAACCCTGGAATCTATGCAGCTAGGCAAGTATGAGTAATTGGCCAGATGGGTAGAATGAGGAAGGCAGTGGAGACATTGAGAGGTGCCTGGCAGGGTCGGTTGCCCCTCCTCTGGAAACAGGGAAGGAGAAAGGTCTAGCTAGGATGTGGACTCTAGCACCAGACCGACTGGGTTCTAACCCCAGGTCTGCTACATACCAGCTGTGTGATTTTGGGTGAGTTACATAGTCTTTCTGAACCTCAGTTTTCCCATATGTAAAATGGGGACGATACCACATACTTTATAGGATTGTGTGGATCCAAAAGACAAAGCAGGCAGAGCACCTGGTAGGTTCTCAGTGAACAAGTAGCCAGTACAGGTGGTCCTGCCTCATGACAGGGTTCTGTTTTGACAACTCCATCTTAAGTTGGTTAACACATAAGTCAAATATCAAATATCTCATTTTTTTTGTTTAGTTTTCATGATTATTGCCTTTTATTATCAGTATGTTTAAAAATCCAATCTTTATTTGTCTTTTGGGGGTTGGAAACATTATATATAAACTTATGGACATATTTTAATACATACATACATAAAAATATACAAATCATAACAATTTGTTCTGATGATGAAATTAACAGCTGATACTTCTGATGGTGTGATCATGCTATAGGCTTGGTCTGCAATGAAGTTGGTGTCCTAACAATGAAGTCAGAATCACAATGGGCACTTGCACAGTTCAATTGTCATGTCATTAGATTGAACAGTGCCCAATTTTCTATCTGTTATGACTCCTGACACCAACTTCATTGTAGACCAGGCCATAACCTGATATACAGCAGTGTTTTGTACAGAAAATCATAACATTGAACATTTGTGAGTGAACATCTGAGAATGATAACATCAGCAAATTACTTGTTGCAACATTCCATGTAGTACATGTTACTAATGGTAACATGTACAAAATAGAAAGAGACAATTTAGGTACAGTTCATAGTAACTTGAATACCTCATAAGTCGGGGACTACTCATACAGTATTGTTATTTTGCTGAGTTTGTGGGGTCTCTGAGGAGGCATGGTTGTGGCTGTGGGCCTGGGAAGGACTCTGATAGCCTGGAACCTTGATGCTCTGATCTTCATACCTAGTCACCTCTCCCACACCATTTGGGAGAATTACCTCTTTCTGCCCCTCTAGGAATTGGCTCCTAGCTCATAAAACTGGGGCTGCCAGTTGGGGAGGGAGTAGAGGAAACAAGCTCACAGAGGTTAAACCATGTGCCTGACTCATGAGGACTCAGCAACAGGGCCAGGGCTCCAGCCTTGCCTCCTTTTGAGAGTCCTGGGTCCCAGCAAGGGCAAACAAATACTGGGCAACAACTGGGGTGCAGGGGCCTAGTGAGCAGGGCCTCCAGGGCAAAGGGCTGGGGTGGGGCAGGACAGGGCATTATCAGGGTCTGGGCAGAGGGCAGGAAATCAGCCAGCAGAGACTTGCATGGTCGTGAGTGGTGGTAGATGTTGAAGGCAGAGGCTGAGCTGTCCTGGAAGGTCCAGGAGGAAGACCTGGACCTGGAGGGTCCAAGCTTCCCTGCTTGCAACATCTACTTCCTCCTCAGGGTCTCCTCTCAGTCTCTTGTCAGTGAAAACAAGCAGAGCTTGCTGGCTCCTGAGAGGACCCATGGGCAGAAGCATCTCTACGGTAAGGCAGGTATGGCACGTGCTCTGGGTGCCACTTGAGGGGGCACCAATGAGCAGTTTCTATTTGGCATCACGGTTTCCATTGCCAGCTGTGGTGAGACACCATTCAGCAATTTAAAACTAATTGCCATAGGTGTTATTTCCTGCAGCCATGCCTCTGGCCAAGGGTGTGTCATGGCCAGAGTCCCCCAGCCCCACCCCAGGGTCACTGATCTGTGAGATTCTGAACGCCTCTGCTCTCTCCCTCTCCTTTCCCCAGCCCCTTCTTCTCTGCCAGGAAGGTCAAAGTTTCCAGAGTCAGGAGTGGCTTGTAAAAGACCTTAAGTCAAGAGCCAAAGAAAACCTTAAGCAGGTCTGGTCTCTAGCAGAGCTTTGTGGATTCTGGCCCTGGTATCACCTAGCATTGTAAGTCAAAACCTGAGCTCACCAGTGAAAGGAGGGAAAGAAGAGGTAGCCTGTAAAGGGAGCAGTGCAAGCAGAGGCCAGAAGCTTTTGCCAAACTATGATTTTTGAGCCTGACTTTCAGTGTCACTAAAGCAGAAAGTGCCCCCAGTGGTGAGGCTAGAGAGGTGTTCAGGGACAAGGTAATGGAGGCCATTGAAGGCCATGCCACTGAACTGGGACTCTTCAACTGAAAGTTCTCCCAGGGTTGTCTCCCAAGGGCCTCCAAAGGTGATAGTGTCTGGGCATCTTTGCACCTGGAACTGCTGCCAGGTACACGTTTGGCAGAAATTATGCTGAGGTGGCTCTGTCCCTATCCTATCACAGTGGGACATTGGACTCAATTTGCAGAAATTCCTTCTGAAGAGTTTCACAGTTGTTGATTCTGCAGGCCCTTTGCATGGCCACAGGCCAAGGGTATGCAGTACTACTGCATGGTCAGCAGAGGGCAAGATGCCATTCATTTTGACTTTGCCTGCCTAGAGCTAGGAACCTGCAGGAGTTGTGTTGGCCTTTCCACACACCTTTACAAACAGGGCCCTGTAGGGATCTTGGGGTGAGAAAGAGATGTCCCAGCTCTATTGCAAGCTACCCCTGGTATTCATGAGCCTCTCTGCACTCTTCTAACGAGAGTGGTTCTCTGATGATTTCTGAAGGTCTATCGGTTCTTATCAATGATATCGTTTGATGCTTCCTGCATTCTGTTGGCTTGCCTTTCTTTGGAATGAGCACAAATATGAGTCTCTTCCAGTCAGTTGGACAGGTAGCTGTCTTCCAAATTTCTTGTCATAGACGAGTGAGCCCTTCCAGTGTTGCATATGTTTGTTGAAACATCTCCCTTGGTATTCCATGAACTCTTGGAGCCTTGTTTTTGCCAATGCCTTCAGTGCAGCTTGGACTTCTTCATTCAAGACCATCAGTTCTTGATCATGTGCTATCTCCTGAAATAATTGAGCATCAACCAATTATTTTTGGTACAGTGACTGTATATTCTTTTCATCTTCTTTTGATGCTTCCTATGTTGTTCAATATTTTGCCCATAGATTCCTTCAAGGTTGCAACTTGGGGCTTGAATTTTTTCTTCAGTTCTTTCATCTTGAGAAATGCCAAGCATATTCTTCTCTTTTGGTTTTCTAACTCTAGTTATTTGCACATTTCACTGTAATACTTCACTTTGTCTTCTTGAGTTGCCCTTTGAAATCTTCTGTTCAGCTTTTACTCCATCATTTTTCCCATTCCCTTATCTACTCTACATTCAAGAGCAAGTTGCAAAGTCCTTTCTGACATCCATTTTGATATTTATGTTTTCCTGTGTTTTTAATGACCTTTTGATTTCTTCGTATATGGTATTCTTGATGTCATCCTTTGATGTCATCATTAAAACCCTAGTAAAATGTTGCTGAAGATAATTAAAAGGTGGCTGCAGCAGAACACTGACAGGGAACTACCAGAAATTCAAGTTGAATTCATAAGAGAACATGGAACAAGGGACAGCATTGCTGATGTCAGAAGGATCTTGGCTGAAATTAGAGAATATTAGAAAGATATCTAGTGTGTTTTATTGACTGTGTAAAGGTATTCAACTGTGTGGATCATAACAAATTATGTATACCATTGTGAAGAATGGGAATTCCAGAACACTTAATTGTGTTCATGAGAAATCTGTTCATAGACCAACAGGCTTGAACGTAACAACTGGATACTGCATGGTTTAAATCAGGAAAGGTGTGCTTCACCTTTCACCACACTTATTCAATCTGTATGCTGAGCAAATAACTGAGAAGCTGGATTATATGAAGAAGAACACAGCATCAGGATTGGAGGAATACTCATAACAACCTGTGATATGCAGATGACACAACTTTGCTTGCTGAAAGTAAAGAGGACTTGAAGCATTTATTGATGAAGATCAAAGTCTACAGACTTCAGTATGGATTACAACTCAACATAAAGAAAACAAAAATCCTCACAACTGGACCAATAAGCAACATCATGATAAACCGAGAAAAGATAGAAGTTGTCAAGGATTTTATTTTATTTGGACTCACAATCAATGCCCATGGAAGCAGCAGCCAAGAAGTCAAAAAAATTAATTGTGTTGGGCAAATCTGCTGCAAAAGTGTTTTAAAAAAGG